AGAAGGCGAAGGCACAGGGCAGGCAAATGCAGAGCAGAATCAGACAGACAATGCCCAGCCACCAGTACCAGGCGAGGGAGGTAGAAGAGGAGTTTCCGGAAGAATCTCGGTGGTGATCACCACCTTTATCACCATCACCACCTCCGTTTTCATTTGAAAACGGTTTCCCTCCGATGGCCACGTGACTACAACAAGAAGAACAAATGTTAATATGGTTAGGATATAAATTGTCGGGATTGTTTACCTGGCCTGAGTACTCCAAATTGTAGTGCCGTTCACCACTGAAATGTCCACCATATTTTCCTCTCTTTTAATCTCCTGCTTGACGAGGAAGTTGGTGATGACCAAAAGCAGTGTCAGTGCGGCGGCGAAGGACATTGGCAAAAGTTATTGGCCGCTGTTGTTGTGGTTGTTGATAACTTTAGCAAACAGTTTTTTGCAAACACTAAAGAAGATTCGGCCATATTTGATTTGAAGTTTTTATGTTAGGGTTTTAGAATCAAAGTTGGTGGAATTTTGTTTGTTTAGAACTAAAAAGGAACATGTTTGTTTCGATTGTTTCCGTTGCAGACATGTTAGTTCGTCAATTTGTCTAAAAATCTTTTAAAAATTGTAAACTTTTTCACTTATACAAAATATTATTTTTTGCCGTTGCTGTTCAAGGTTACTCCAGTGATTACCATCATTGCAAACATTTTATAACGCAATTTTGAATATGATTAAAAGCATTGCATTACAAATTACATTCCAGTATTTGCAGTTTTACCAGCAGTTACAACAGTTTCAACCGTCTCAAGGACGGTTTTAAATTAAATTACCTTATAAAAAGCGTAACTGAAAGCCCGCTTTTAGATTTGGTAAGATTTAGTCAACAGTTAAAAAGCACAGATTGCTAAAAAATGAAACTTTCCACCGCTGTTTTCTTAGTTTCAGTTTCATTGGCGGTACTGCAAAGCTTTTTCGACATTGTTCTTGCTGGTAAAAAGTTTGCCGTTCTGGGCGGCACCAAGCCGATTCCAGTCGATCATCCGGGCCTGCTCAACGTCCTCAAGGTGGCTCACTTTTCAAAGTTTTTCCCATTCGGCAGTTCTGCCTTTCGGCTGGGCCGAGTGCTGCAGGCGAAGCAGCAGATAGCCGCCGGACACATCTACCACGCCCACTTTGAGCTGATCGAGACTGACTGTGACCGGCAGTTGACAGCTGCTGAAGATGTCAGCTCTTGCGGGGAAAAAAGGCGGCTACTCTGTGAGGCGACCATTTGGTCAAAACCGTCAAAGAGAGAAGAGCAGGAGGAGGTAGAGGTAACGAAGTTCAGCTGTAAAAGTAAAGAGTAATGTGATAATAATAAAAGTAGTAGGCTTTCTGAATAATAAAATAAAACGGAGGTTTTTTCTAATAAACATTTTTGACGGTTGAACTCTCTTTGCGCTCTTTTTTTAACTTAAAAGTTAATTACCAATTACAGCATTTTTCGCCGGAATTTTTTTCTCTCTCTCTCTCTCTCTCTCTCTGATATTCTATTGATTGTATGAAACTGCATCGTTTTGTTTGCTGTTTCTAATTAGCTGTTTTTTTCGATGGGTCAAACTGAAGTTCATTTTGAGGTATAAAAGAAAATTGATTGTTATTTGAAAAACATTAAAAAAATTTTAACCTCGGCTCTCTGTTTTACCCAAAAATGAAACTCCTTTTTACCTCTTTCTTTTTTATTTTTGCCCTAGTAGCGCTGACCACCGCTCACCCTAAAGATTTTGATAATGGTAGTGGTGATAACAATGTAATAGACGATAATTCCCATGGGGAGCCCGGCGGCCTCTTGGACATTCCCACTGACCACATTGGCATGCTGAAGGCGCTGCAGGCCGTCAAGGACAGCTTCGAGGCGCAGCTGGCCAACTTCCGCTTCTTCACCATCGGCCCGGTCCACTCGGCCCAGTCGCAGGTGGTCAGGGGCACCAACTACTACGTCAACTTCACGCTCACACAGCGGAACTGTCTGGAAAAGGGCGGCCTTGGAGGCAAAGAAGGCGTCAACTGCGGCCCCAGCCGGGACCTCCTCTGTGAGGTGGTCATCTATTCGCCGCCTGACCACACCTATGAGCTCTCTTCTATTGACTGTAAATGATGAGTAACTCATGATGATGTTTTCAGAGGATAAAAGGAATTTGATAAATAAAAAAATGAACAAAATTTTAAAAATAAAGAAAAAATTAGATGTGACCTTTTAATTTTAGCTGTAAAATAGATAAAAAGTAATTTGAAAAAAACTTTTTTTGTGATCTTTGTGATTGATTTTTTTATTCATTTAACTTTTGATATTTATTAATTTCAACATTTTTTTGCGTATTTTTGCAAATCGCCAAATCAACCTTGCCAATTGCAAATTATAAAAGTCATATTACTCAGATTTTTAAGTATAAAAAAGAAGTTTTGTAATAAGTGAATTTTACTTTCAGATCTGTCTTTCATTTTCTAACGACACTAAAAACCAAAATTTTTTTTCAAAATGAAAGGTTTCTTTGCACTTGCTCTACTCTTGTTGGCTTCAGCCGTCTTTGCCCAAAAAAACACTCCCCGTCCTGATCTAGATGATGGTGGCTTCAGCGACATCGACGTCAACGACCCAGACCTAGTGAAGGCGCTGAAAGCGGTCAAGGGCCGCTTTGGAAAGAAGCTAAACAGTTCCTCGGTTTTCGAAGTCAGCAAAGTCAACTCGGCCCAGGCGCAGACGGTGGCCGGTACCAACTACGAGGTGAACCTGACGCTGACACAGAAAGACTGCTACGCTAAAGGTTTCGGAGACAAAAGTAGCGCCAGCTGCACTAGCAAGAACCGGCTCTGTCAGGCGTCCATCTGGGCCAAGATTGACGACACCTTTGAGCTGACTTCGGTGGACTGCAAATGATGATAAGCATTTTTAATCCCTTTTTTGTTGTATTGTACTTTTTGATTGAAAGTTTAAAATATAGTGTGCACTGTTTGAATTTTAGTTTAAATTTTACTAACAATTTTTTAAAAACGTTTTTTAATGCTAATTTCAAAAAACTTAAAACAAAATGCGTATTTTTGTTTGTTTGAATGTGTTTAGTATGTGGGTAAGTTTGTGAGTGTATTTTCGGCTATTTTAGTTGAACAAATCAGCCTTTGCCTTCTAATCATTGCCCTAAACTAAGTGTACTTTCTAAAACTGAAGTGAATAAAGTGATGAACAATACTGTTTGTATTTGAGATTGTAATGCATGGCAGCTTTTCATTTGCATATTTTACATTAGTTTGTGGATTTTCATTAAACAACACAAAAGATGGATGCTAGTGGCATTAGCGTTTTTTGTCCCTAGCTGCAGATGGCTTACTTTAATCTGATGGGCTTTGCTTTCGAGAAGAGAAAGACTTGTGTTTGCATTTCTGCTTTTGCCCTTTTTTGTCCGACGAAGATGAAGACGATGCCGAAGATGATGTTGATGATGATGAAGATGACTTCACCTCCATTTGAGCTACCCTGATTGCTAAACTCTCTGATAATCCAAGAAGTTGTGGTAAATTTACGGTTTTGGTAGTAGGAGTCGTCTTCAGGTGCTTTCGCAAATCATCCGTCAGCCCACCAAGGCCGATGGAGGTGAAGAAGTTGACTGCAAATCGAGTCTTCGCCGGATCATCCCTCGGAAACAGTCTCTCAAAAGCACTTTGCAGGGTAGGGTCCTTGATGCGCTCATTCAGCTTG